TTCTTTTCTATTCTGCTGTCTCCAGGTATTGCAATGTCCACTATCCAGACTTTTTTGTCTTCCTTATTAACAGTTGTTAAGTCTGGGGTATTATGTGGCAGGTGCTTGTCTGTTTGAATTCTAAAGTCCCAGAGCGCTTTTGCTTCTTCATTTTCTATTAGTTTGTCTGTTTTGTGGTCCCACCAGTTCTTGCTTGCAGGCAAATGGTATTTCTTGCCGCTGTTGTTGTTATTGCTTTAGTAGGAAGGCAACAAGATCATTGTAGTGGGGAAACACACTTTCAAGAATCAGCAGGATTGCAATTTTTACCCTCTGCCCAATATTTTTTTTTTTCTGAGCAGGCTTAAAGCCTTAGAGACTTAACACACTCATTTCACCCTTTTAATGCCCTCAAAATGCCAGAAAAAAAGGCTTTTAAAAAATGCCCTGCCTGTTCGAGTGACATTGTTGGTCATGCCCTTTGCAGCCATGCAAAATGTAGTTCCAGACTGAAAAGGGTTGCCTACCACAGTTTTAATGGAATTCCAATAATTAGTTACCATTTAGCAACACTGAATTGGCAGCATGTAAGAATATTAATTGCTGCAGCTGTTGTGTCTGCATGCTCCTTCCCTGCACTTGATAAAAACAAGACAGTGTTGGATAGGCTTCTTAGATGTAGCGTCTGCTGTCTAAGCAAACATATTGGTGCATTTTCTCTCCAGCCCAGGACTTACGTGTGGAAAGGAAATTGTAAAAGTTGAGTGGTCTTAGGGATCTTCCTTCCCATTAATTTTTCTTTAAGACTGGAAACTCAGAGACGGAGAGTCTTCTGGTCTGCTGGATCTGCTTTTTTAAATTATTTTTTAAGAGTCACCAGTCATAAGAGATAAACATAATGAAAGGACAGAGTAGCTTTGAGCACATTCTGAGCTTAAGAGTTTGTGGTCAGCGCTAATATTGAACTGTACAGCTTACAATCCTTTCACGCAAAAGTTCATTCATGATAACTCTTAAATTTAGCTCCTAATTTAGATATGCAAATATCGTTACTGGTTTCTCTTGTAACTATTAACAGCAAATATTTCCAGGTTCCAGATCACTGCCCATTGCCCAAACCTCTGCCAACAGATCCTGATCTTCCTTCTGCCTACTTCTGTGTTAGCTCTTTTATTGACACTGATAAGGGAAAAACCAGCCAACCAACCACTGTGATGGTCCCAATTGTCTGGTAAGAATCAAGCCAGTCCATTTCCAATGTTCTCACCGGTGAGCACAAAGTCACTGATATGCCAGAAAAGCACTTGGATGTTAAGCTGATTTTTGAAATATTACCAATATTATTTAATAAATGAACAAGAGTCCCAGGACTGTATTTTTATGCCTGTACCAGTGAGAGAGACAGCATCAGAGAAGGAAGGTAGTTGCAGCCAACTGTTTATTGGAGAATTGGGTGCCCTTCCTGAACTAGGCCTTCCATTATTTGACTTCAGTACCATATACCTGAATTAGTATGCATGAATCTGAATATTCAACATAAATATTATGAAAATATCATCATACTTTTTTCTTTCTGGGTGGATAGGACATGCAAGCCTTTGAAAAAGATCTATGTTTGTCAGTGATCTCAGGCAGGTATTTCCTCAAGAGAGTTCATACACCAGATCCATCCCTACTTGCTCAAATAGTACCTCTCTAAGTTCAGTGGGGCATAAGGCCCCATAGAATACTTCTTTTGACTGAAACACGTAGAGCAACCTTTTCCCAGTGTTGACTGACCACAACTTGCAGAATCCCTAACCTGCACAGCCATTCTAGATTGAAATTCTGAGAGATGGTCCAACACGTCCAGAGGGCAGTCAGTTGGAGAAAGTAACCATAGACTTGTTGGACGCAAGAGCTGGAAGGAACTGCTCAATCCCACCCTGTTAGTAGAGAGTTTTGCAGTTACAGTATTCCTAACAATGGGTTGCCTAGGCTCTGACCCAAGTGAGCCCACCAACTCTTCAGGTGGGTAGTTCCTAACCACTGGGAAGCTTCTATTTAGCCAAGAATCAACTTCTTGTGGCAATTTCCTATTATGCCAAAGCAACCTCAGTAGATCAAGTTATCTTCTCAGCAGTGTAATGTAAGAACCATGCACCAATCCTGCTATCTGCCTCCTCATTTGTACATACCTGCATCAACTTCATAGTGTCTCCTGGGCTGTCCTCCAACTGTAGTGTGTCTGCCTCTCCCTTGCATTTTTATAGGGCTTTCCCCCTCCCATCATACAGCTGATAAAAAAGACTCAAGGGCAAAGATCTAATTAATAACCAGGATGCAACAACAAAGGATGTTTAACGGCATAATAACGGTTCCCTAGGTTAAGGAGTCAATACTTAACCAATTTCACTTCAATCAGTGTTTTGAGTCAGGCTATTAATGATGTATCTTCATTTAATCTGAAAGTTGCGCAGCCTGCTGGACTTACTCCCTCCACCCTACATGTTTTTTCCATCTTTGCATTAACACTGTGAGGTGGATGTAGCTGAAAGAGACTGGGCCAAGCATTTTCATGGCTGCAAATGGAATAAACTGCAGGCTTTCCAAGCTGTGGGAAGCAAACTGGATACTATATTACAGTAGGACCACCAGATCTGGGGTGTAAAAACCCAGATGCTCACCAGCTGGGGGAAAAGAGTTTTTTGTGCCTTTTTGCTGCTATCTAGTGATGATTTGGATTTTTACAGCCAGATCACAATGGCCCTTCTGACTTTAGGATTTGTTGAACACTTGATACTGTGAAGACTAGAATAGAAACCAGGTTTTACCAGCTGGGATTGGGATCAAGGAGGGTTAGAAGATGAGGATCAGAATGTATGTCATAATAATAAGAGTCAGTGAGTTTCAAGCATAAGGTAGGTCTTCTTTGAACAAGGAACGTGCTGGGAATCCTGAATCCTTTGCTAGTGGAAAGATGAACTGTTGCATTTTTTTTCAATTTCCTGGCTGGAAATTTTGCATTTTGTTCTTTGAGTGACTGTGTTAGGTGAAGGAATGAGGGTGAATTGTTCAGCCTGGTGAGGGAAAGGTGCTCAACGCTAGTTCTTGACTTCATCTGCTCTTGAGACATTAAATGCTTAGCTTGGTGAGCAACATGTTCTAGGACAGAGATGAGGAACTTTGTTCTGCTTGTAGGCTGCACTTTGAGCCCTGGTTTGGGTCCATGATCAGTGATGTGTCATCCCCAAAAGGCACAAGACAGGCCGTTTTTACTGAGTTTGGTGAATTGAAGCACCATTTTGCCCTTTAAATTCCTTCTCAATGAAAAAAGCCAGAGAAATTCACCCCTGCCTACCACAGGGAGAGAGCTCTAAGAGCCACAAATGGGTTGCTGAAGAACAACGTGGGGCCCATAGCTTGCTGCTCCCCCTCCCATGGCCGTTGCAAGCTAATTTTTTTAAACAGGAAGACTTGTCCTAAGCCCTGCTTGGCAATAGCATCAGAGGGAACCATGCAATATTTTCCATCAACCATGGCTTTCTGCCTCTTCTCCAAGGCCGCTGCTATGGGCTACACCAGGTGTGTTGCTAGGTGAGAAATCTCTTCCTGCCTTGGTTGCTTTCCACCTGGATGCTGAATATGGTGTCCTTGATGCCAAGCCAAGCTTCAAGGCCCCCAGCGGGACTTGGAATCAAGGCTAACTGGGAGCGGCAGGCGATCTGAGTGACCCCAGGGTGGGAAAGGCTGCCTTAAAGCATTGTGGGAAAGGCTGCTTCCCCCTCCCCCAGTAGATGATCTGCCAGCCCCCCACCCCACCCCACCCTCATAACTCCTACATTTCATACAGTATTTTTGCCAGAAAGGCTGGCATTCCCTCCAAATAACTTTCTTTTAGAATATGAGGATCGCCTTGGTTTTACTGAAGCAACCAATAGAAACGGAAGCAGTCTTTTCTTTTTCTTTTTAACTGTCCACCATTCTTTGGTGTGTGGATTGGCTAACATTCATAGTTATATTTTGGGTAAATGTGTTTCCCAGCTGAACAGACAGGTAGAAACTTGCCGAGAAGGTAAAATGTCAACCCAGCTTCCCCAAATGCCCAGGACTGTTCAGTTAATTGGCAGGACCAGGGAAGAGAACATGGCTACCAAACCCTTCCACTCAGTTGCTTGTTGGCACGTGAATCGGAGCCGCATTTGGTATTTTTGGCAGCCGCGTGGCCTCTGGTTCCTGGCAGGGCCCACTCTCAATGCCTGCTCTGGGTCCCCATTATGGATTAATTACTTATCTCGAAGCAACACGGCAGCTGTATTGTATTGGCTCCTCTGTGGGAACCGTAACAGCTTTAAAAATCTGCCACCGCAGCCAAGCCAAGCCAGCGGGGCTTATGGACTGAGGTGGGTTGGCCTTGGCTGCTTGGCAATTTTAGGCCTCCCAAAGAAAAACAACACTCCTGCGAAGGCTTGCATAAAGGTTGCTAGCAGCGATTTCCTACCTATGGGTTGGTGGTGGAGGCACTGTTTACACCAGGTGGGTGGGGGGGATGGATTTTAAGACTACAGGATGAGCTTCTGAGCTGGCTCCAAGTCATTAATCTGGCTGGAGTTATCTGCTGTGGGGCTTACTGTGCAGCCTTAGACAAGTCCTTTTCTCTATGTAACCGACCTCGCAGGGTTATTGTGAGGGTAAAACGAGCTGTTTTCTATGCTGCTCTGAGCTCTTTGGTGGGAGGAGGGGATGCAAACATGAAGAACAAAACCATGATAAGGTTACCATGTGGATCAGTCACCCTGAAAGGTAATCTGGGGGGGGGGGGGTTGATTAGGCCATTTGAAGCTGCACCTACCACCACCACAAATACTCAAGATCCATAATCCCCAAGGCTACCCAAGCTATGCTGGCCCTTTAGGCAGAAAATCCCACAACCTGTGTTCTCTCTCCCATCAGTAAAAAAATATTGCAACATACTAATAATTTGCCAACTTGTCACGTCACCAAAATCAACTGTGAGGCATTCTAATACCAGGGCCAAACTAAGTCCATAATGCCAGGATACCAATTAAGTAAAACTGAAAGTTTATTTTTCACTGGACGAGCTTTATGTTTTATGCTATTCACTGGCCACTCCTGGTCTTTAATACACTGACTTTAGGTTTAATGAAAGATAAAGAGTTACATTCACAACGGTATGCTTGGAAGGCAACAGTGAACTGGCTGACTTGGTTAAGCCACATTTTTAAAAATTGCACTTGAGGCCTGCAATACTCCTTTTTCTTTTCAAAGGTGTTTCCAAAGCACATACAGCCAATATGCCACTTTGTGCCAGGAAATGGTTAGAACCAAGCTATACAAGAGCGTTAAGCAAGGGCAGCTCACTGTGGATATTTTTAATAGAACTTCTGACTCATCACTTGTCACTATTGCAATTATCTTTTTTAAAAGTATGCAGTCAAGAAACAAAGATGATGCAGCAGCCTGTTTATTTATGTGATTACAGTAATATCCCAGAAGTTCACAGCATAAGTACTGCTTCTGTCTCTCACACTTTATCCACACCACAATCCTATAAAGTGTATTGCCTGGGGGAGGATAGTCACCCTGTGACCATCAGGGTTTAGCAACGTAACTGAATCTGCAACTGCTCATTCTCAATCCAAAATTCTGATCCCAGAGTAGGAAACCTGGTTGGCCTTCCAGATGTTATTGGGTCCCATCATTCCTCACCATTGACCATGGGCTGAAGGTAAATATCATGGGTTCCCCACTCCTGCTGAGAACCCTGAGTAGCACTGAGATCTGGCTAGGAGAACATCTGCCTAGGAGAACAGTACAATCCTATGCCTGTTTCTTCAGACATGCCACTGTTACTCAAGCAGCCCAAGTCACTGTCTCTCTGCCTAACCAATTCCCCAGGTGATATTGAGGACAAAATAGGAAAATCTCATATAAACCAGGAAGGATGGAATATAAACATGAAAATAATATTTGTCTATCTTTCACATTCAGGTTGGGTTCAAATAACTGCACTAAGTCCTTGTTTGCTTAAATGTGGTTTAAATAAACCACAGGTTGGGGGATTTTACATAACATGCTACGCCACAATAAGCAAACTCCAGTACAGTGTTTCTCAACCTTGGCAGCTTGAAGATGTGTGGATGCTGGCTGGGGAATTCTGGGAGTTGAAGTCCACACATCTTCAAGCTGCCAAGGTTGAGAAACACTGCTCTAGTGTAACAATACATTGCATCGTCCAGGCTATAAAAGATGGAGCCTGAAGCAGGCACGATGTAGCGAAAACCTGGCTGCTGACTCTGCAAGGACCTGTGCTTGAGGGACCAGTGAACCATGCAGCAAGGAGCTAAGATGCTGGGGGCCTTGTTTGTGGGTAACTGGAACAAATGACTGTGGCCATCCATCCTTAAAAATTAGCCACACCTTGCAAGCATTAGTCCTTTTTGTTTGTTTGTTTGTTATTCCCTTATGACTTTTTGTTTTTGTATTCGGTGTCATTGTAGTTCTAGTGTTGTTATATATAGAGTGAGATTAAAGTACTTTAAAGAAGACAAGAAGGACAGATTAATTTATTTCACCCTGAAGTCCCCTCTGGGGACACTTTTTTCAATTGTCTTTCCTTTATATAATGCACTACTTGAATCTATTCTTGCAGATTAATCCTGTACAGGTTTGCTCAGTTCTATGGGCCTAATATTCTTCCAGGTGAGTGTGTAAGCCTTGCAACTTTCATGCTTGTTTTGCTCATAGCTTCCTGAAGCTAAAATGTTGAGACCACATGGCAAAGGATGACACAAAACAGTTTCCTGAATGCATCTAAAGCGTTTGTTGTAGTTATTTCAAGAAAATTATCACAAAGGTAAACATGGTGAAGCGTTTTGTTTTTTTCTCCTTTCTGGCTGGAGTAGGAGAGGGGGAAAAGTGAATGTGAATCCCTGCCCATCTCACATTGGCGTAGGTTTACCACTTCCATAGCACTTATATTCTGTCTCATACATGCGTGGCACACACATGATTTCCACCACAGGCACCCGACAGGAAACAGTGGGTGGCTGCTGCACAGGGCAGAAGCGATCCCAGGTTCGCTTGTAGTCATGGGGAAGTTGGTAGGATTCTTGGGCCAGGCTGAATAAACCATGGTGAGGTACAGCTGGGTTCAGTACCAGGTGGGGCACCCGGGTAGCCTTTGGAAACATCTGGGCATCCCTCATAGGCCCAGGTACACGGATTAGAGGGTAAGGATCCACACTGAGAATTTCCTTCCGAGCATACCCTTGAAGTTCTTTCCTATGAGGGAATGGAGACAGAGTAGATGAAGAAAAATAATGTTTCAAGAAGAAAGCAAAAAAAGCAGGAAATACGTGCAGTGACGAAGGGGCCGCCCAAATCTGTGTGTGTTGCTTACAGAGCATTAAATAGACATTAAACTTAGAATTCAACTCACTAGGAAGCTAATCTTTAATTAAAAAAAGAAAATATTTCCAGCCTCTATGACTACAGTGAAACTGTGAGTGATGCCTGCTAAAAGTATAGATTTTACGAGTTTCTGGAAAAGAGATTGAGAGCTCCTCGTCTCTTCCTAACTAAGGTTAATAGGATGAATCAAAGCAAAGCAAAGCAAAGCAAATCTTTACTACAGTCATAGACCAACACAGATAGGATGAATTGTGCAAAACAAGATACATTGATCAAATTAGCATATTTTATGCAATTGGCAGAATGGAGGTTACAGTGACACAAGTAAAACTTGTGCCTACGTGGGCTAATGAAGAGAAAGCTGAAAGCTGGAGTTAGCAAGAACAGAAATGCCTTATGAATGAAGAGCTTTGGTGAATCAAAGCAGAATCCTAGGGAGTCCAGCTTCCTCTTTCCAACCAGCTGTTTCTGGACAGCCCACCAGCTTGCATAAGCCTAGGAACACATACCTCCCATTTTGCTCCCCAACAACTAGTACAGGTAGCCCCCAGTTTAAGAACGAGTTCCGTTCCCAAGGTCTGTCCTTAAGTTGAATTTGTATGTAAGCCAGAACAGTATTATACAATACATTCATGACAATATAAGTAGTATTGTGTAATGAACTCGAATCATTGTGTATTTAATTCAAATTTTGCTACAATAGGCTCCATTCTTAACTATGGGTCACCCATAAACCGCAGTACTACCTGTACTGCAGAATATATTGGCTTAGATGCTGAAGGTATCATATAAACTATTAGTAGCCATTGAGACCTTTATCTGATTCTAGAAAGGCATCTCAGTTGATGGTGATCACTTAATCTTGAAGCAATGGGTTCCATTCATCAGCCACTGGCTAGATGTCAAAGTGCTTCCTTTTGTCTGACTTCAATATCCCTCCATCTGACTTCATTAGACCACCCAGAGTTATTCCAATCAGGAGAAACCCGTGCTCTCCAAATGCTGTGCTATTTACATTCCATTATCATACCCCACTTCCTCAGTTTTTGTCCTAAATTAAATATCCCTCAGCATGGCAATCTTTTCCTCACAAGGGAATTACGCCACGTTGCTGCAGAACAGAGTATGGCACTGTCGGGGTGGGGAAAGGGTACAACAGATGTGCCACTAACTGTGTGAAGGCCCGGAAGTCCTGGGCAGTGGTCGATAAGTAGGGTTCGTTGAGCCGTAGAACTGCCTTGTCACAGATGTAGAAGGGTCTTCCAGTGAGGTCATTGTTCCGTGTGGTGGCCACCACCGACTGAAAGTGAAAAGAAGAATGGCCACTGTTGGAGGGGATGTTTTGCCTTTGCTAAGCAGCATTTTCTCCACTGCAGAAGACATCTTCAAGAAGACGGCTCACGTCAGCCAGGCTTAGCATCAACTAGCAAGGCTACTCATTTCCCTCCCCCATGAATTACACTACCTTTTTAAATTTCCAACAATTCCCCTTGTATGCTTAACGCACTGTGGGAAATTTAAATAGTTATCTACTGCCCCACCAGATAAACTACCAGGGTCCACCAATGTGGGAGATTGTTCCTCTGCAAATCTGAAGCTGTCCCCTAATCCCAGGCCACTCATAGCTATTGTGCTTCCAGCGCACATAAATTGCACGTAGTCCTGGCAGGACCCCAAAGGATATTACACATTCATTTGCTCAGTATCAAGAGGGCAGGGACACACGTGCAAGAAAACTTTGCAAAAATGTGCCCAGTGAAACTTCCTTAATTTGCGGGTTCTGACTCTGGCAAGAAAAGATGTGTCAGGATCTGCGCAAGCTAGAAATTAGCTTTTTGGGCGGCTCCTGGGGAGTCCAAGAGGATTTACTGAACTTGGGAAATGAGTGTGCAGACTCTGACAAGATGAGCCCTTGGCCTTAAGGAAAAAGAAGTGTGGGTCAGATGCCCCCCGCCCCCATCCCTGGAAAAATTCCAGATACCTTGGATGCTCCATCTGCATGATGCGCTGCCAACCCGAATGGCTGAGGCCCAGCATGAAAGGTGGGCTCCTGCGGCAGATTGGGCCAGCCACGAAAATTTGCTTGGATCTCACTCTTCTGGTTGCCCATAGTCAGGGGGAACCTCCATGCCCTAAGCTTCATCTGTTGGCAAGGAGAGCGGGTTGAGAGTCCAGGATATAGAACACGTAAGCGGAAGGCAGAGGGACAGGTGATGGGGCATAATGGCAGTTATGACTGTTCCTAGGGCAGTGTTGTCCAAACTTGGCCACTTTAAGATGAGTGGACTTCAACTCCCAGAATTCCCCAGCCAGCCATGGTGGCT